CTATAAAAAGAATAAATAATATTTTTTTAAATTATTCTAATTACGTGTCTTAATAAATCTAAATTTTTATAGAAAAGCTAAAATAGTAAACAGTTTATCTAATCCTCTTATTTCATGTTAAATAGTATATTTGAGTAACCCATTTGCATCTACAACAGCAAAACGAAAACTTTATTTCAATTTACGAGGGTTCCTCATTCAAAACAAATAAAATACTCCCTTAAAGTAGAATAGATTTTATATAAAAAAATTAAATTTCAAAATAAAATATATTTTAGCATTTCTAATTCACGAACAAATTATTAAAGATCTTTATTTCATCTGTTCAATTATTCAAGAAAAAAGAAAGGTAAAGAGTTTTTACTCTTTGAACATTATGCTAGTTCGCATTTACGATTCGTATCAAATTCAAATAATGCCTTAAAACATCAATCAAGTAATATGGAGATTAAATAAATCAATATCTCTATCCAAGTAGAAGGGATGATAGATAGATTGATCATGTTGTAGAAGAAATCATAGATCTCTAAAATAATTAAGTTATAGTATTCAAATAATATTATACATATTTGGAGTATAGTAGAAAGGCAATATTTATTTTAAATAAATGAAGCATGATATTGTTTCCTAATACCAATGATGTATATATACTACTAGATTAGCGATTCATTTATTAAATGCATTTTAAAATGTCCATACATATGAAGCGCCTATAGCGCCATTTTGTGGTTTGTATGTCCATTAAATGACATTAATGTGCATTCATACAATGATAAAGACAATTAGTAGAAGTGCAAACCACAAAATGGTGCTCTATGTATGAAAACTTATAATTAATGAATGGCCAATCTAGTAGAATATAATCATTGCCTCTTACTATAATCTTAACTTAAAGTGGATAAGACTCAATTCAAGAAGGAAGAAAAATAATCTAATAAAGGTGTGAGAAAAGTAGAAAGTGTTTTAATATATATTATATGATTTACGGGTATTTATTATAATTGATTTTTAAAGTATAGTTAAGAAAAAGTGCACATATCTTTCTAATGAGGATGTCATTAATTATTAAAGAAGTAGAGTAATGAGCAAAAATTCAAACCTATTAAATCTTGACTCCGAGTAAAATTTGAAATATAATTTGGCCTCCCAAATTATTTGAATCGATCAATCCAAAAGATTTAGAAACCTTACCAGAATTTCATACTATCTCAAAAAAATCCGAATAGTTCTTAAATAAGATTTAGTTCGATCCTGTTCCGGGGAAATAAAATTAAGAAAAATATTGGATTGAGAAAAAAAATATTCATTTTTCAATGAAAGTATGAAAAAAAATAAAAAAAATTTAAAAAAAAAATAACATAAGGAGAGTTTTTTAAATATATTTTTCCAACTTGTCCACAACTTTGACTATTGTCGAATAAAATTACCGAATGATTTATTAGATATTCACTTTCTATTTATTACATAACCGTTGTACTTATAAAAATGATATAATTTTAACAATCCTCATTAAAAAATATAAATTTTAATAAAGGTATAAAAAGCTTGCAAAAGTAATATAATCTCCGTTGATTATTATAGTGTTCTTTTAAATCATTATTTCCTATAACCAATTGATTAAAAAGAAAATATGGGGGTTTAGCATTTAACCCTTTGACGTCTCACTATTTTGCCATCATTTAATATAATTATATATATATTAAATTTATAAAAGCCTTTACATTTAATTTAACATCATATAATATAAATATAATAAAAATACGTAATTTATAAAATTATTAACTCATAATTTTTAGATTTCATCCAATCATATTTTCATATTTTTTTCTTTACCATTTTACTGAATTATATGATTTTATAACGAATTTTGTGTATAATATTTAATAATTCAAATTTTTTTATTCATTATTAAGATTATTCTTATTAATGTATAATGGATCTTTTTTACGAAAATATTTGGCTATTTTAGCAGCTTCTATTGAATATTCAACCTATTCGTATTTATACTTTTAAAGAAAATCTTATACCGTTATTGCTAGCAGTCTTTTTGAATGATATTGACCTACTTGGTATCACTTAATTATTTCCCAATCTTGGTATCTAAAACAATTTCACCTTCATTCACCAAATTAACTATATTTTCTTATTTTTCTTCTTTACAACATGTAAGCGTGGTTGGCGCTATTAGGTATTTCAGCAGAGACCTGAATAAATGATTTTTTTTAATTGGTAATTTTCTCTTTATTAAAATTTTTTTTGTAAATTATCCAAAAAATAAAAAATATTTCCCAGGAATCTAAAAAAAAAGGGGGAAGCGGCAATTTTTTTCTTTATAGATGAATAAAACATTGAAAACTGGCTATTAATTATTATTTATTCTTATTAAATACATTTACACATATTTTTTTTCACTGAATTTAATTTAGATTTTATGTAATAAGTGTTACTGAATAAATTTTTTTATAGATTCGATATCGGATATTGGTTAAAAAATTAGATCCGTTACTACTCTAGAAAAATATGAAAATTTATATAACTATAGATAATTTTTCTTCCTTTGTTGATGCGAAAAATAAAATTTAATTTAATTTACGAATTAAATGATTTTTTTTAAAAAGAAATTTATTTTGGAATTCTTTTTTTTCGTTGTGATTCCGAATTGAGAATCATAAATATTACAATTTTTTAAAAACTTATATCAACAATTTTTATATCTTTATTTTAACATCAATGGCAAAACTAACAAAAAATCAGAGGAAAAATATGGGGCAAACTTTAATATGCTCAAAGCATTTTGATTGCTAACAAATGCACCAGCATAAAATTATTATAAATCAACACATATAACAGTGTGATGGTATCAATGAAATATTTTGTTTATTCAAATAAAATCGTATATTTTCCAACAACTCACTTTTTCTTTAACTTCACGAATAAAAAAAATTCCCAAATAAATTGGTTATTATATAAATTTAGTTTTATTTTCCTGCGTAGAATATAACATTTCATTTCTAACATGATTTTTATTAGTTTAAATTTTTTATAAGTTATAAAAAAAATTTATAACAAAAAATAACCATTTTATTTATTTTAATAGTTATCAATATAGAATCAGAAAAATTTTTCCATTCCTGCTATCGACATCCTTCCACTTTACAATTCAATTAATATGAAATTCCATCTATAGAAAAGATTCAACAAGGTGATTCTCTTGGCCCATTGCTATTTTGTCTCGGAATCAAGGATATGATCAAGGCAATCAATGCCTCCTGCTCTCTCTCAATGTTTGTTAAATGGATGATGGTGTAATCTGTGGCTCATCCAATGAGGTTAATAAAACTATAGATATAATTTTAGAGATCGGCTCTTCTTTAGGGATAATTCTCATTCAAAGCAAAAAATTCATCTATCTAAACAGTTCCGAAATTAACTCACAATTTTAAAGTCATTAATCAAGATCAACTAATTTATTTTGGAAGGAAATTCAGCTGTTTGCACCTTTGTGGATTCAACCCTTGAGACTCTTATTTGGGTGATATACTTCCCTTCCTTTAGTAAGTCGTTATTTCTGTTGAAAAACTTTTTTAATATACCACGCACGCTCTGTTTTTTTGTTTATATAAAGACAATTTTTTAATACACATTAAATAAGGGATAAAATAAAACTAAAAAAAAAATTGTTGACCAAAATATGCATCAGAATCAGAATTTTAAGAAGAATTTTTATATAAAATAAATCATCATATGTTACAGGGTTAGGATTTGAATTTTAATTTTTAAGAAAAGTCTAAAGGCAATATGATTTAACATGATATTACAAACTATAATATATATGATGTATATATATTGATTTGTAAAAGATAAATAAACGGACGAAAAAAAAATAGAAACATTTCTGAAAAATTGGTATCTTACCGGATGAAAAGTTATTGGCAGAGACCAGTATTATAACCCTTTTTGAAAGGTTTATAACCGATAGTGCCAATTTTGTTCAATTCACGAGGGTAAAAAGTGAGTTTTTCAAATTAACTTCGTTTTAGTATAAAAAAATATTGAAGATAGATGAGTTTAAAAAAAACACCTTTGAGAGTAGTTTGAAATGAAATATCATAATTTTCATTATTCCAAGCAGGAAAAAAAGAAACAAATATACATAATAACCAATTTGTCTGAAAATTGGGATTTTTTTTCTTCGTGTAGTTAAAGAAAGGTTGAGTTATTGGAAAATATAAGATTTTGTTTGATTAAATAGTAATTTATTTCATTGATTATCTTACGTGTTGATTATAAATAATTTTATGCTGGTGCATTTATTGGCAAATTTAGTATATTGTTTAGAGCATTTTTAGGTTTAACCCATATTCTCCCTCTAATATTTTGGGTCTAGTTATGCCAATGTTATTATAATAAACAAATTGTTGAAATTTAATGTTAAAATGAAAATGTGTAAGCTAGCAGAAAGGTTTAAACGAAATCTCAAGGCTTCGGCAATATTTTTCTGGGTAAAATATCGAGTTAGCCGTTTTAAATAATCGATTCAAATAGAGCCGTTAATAACACTAACTAAAATATAACGTGTTAATATAAAAAAAACTGTTTTAATAACTATTTAAAAAACAAATATTAAAAACTCATTATTTTTAAATTTCCAAATAAGAGGTAAGAGATAATATCCATGAGTTTTTTACATTATATAGAAATTTTGTAAACACATGTCATTTTAAAATCATAAAATTGTGAAAGATTGTAATATCCTGCAAAGTTTATAATCTTATAAGGCGGTCGATGTCAATCATTTTTAAAAAATAGCGCTTTTTTAATGATTATATATGTCAATCATAATTTTTTAGACCTTCTTAATGTATTTATATTTTATTGTCTAATATATTTATTTATACTAAAATTGTTTGTGCAATTTAAATGATAATAAAAAAAATAACTAAAAATTGCATATTTTAATACAGTTCATGTTGTATAAAACTTTTGTCAAATTTAAAAATTAGATAAATGAGTGCATTATGTTTGAGAAGAATTCAAAAAAACATTTTAAAAATATGAATTCATTCAAATTTTAATTTATTATCAATATGTATTTAAAGTTCGATTCTTTCCATTTTAGGTTCGTCTATTGATGTTGTTAAATTGACCAAATGAGCTTCTACAAATTCCACTAATGAATCGAACTCCCTAAACGGAAATTTATGATAAACAATAGTATTGTTAATTACAATTTTGTTCAGTAGTCCTAATATATTTAAAATAATCTTAGTAAAAAATATAGTATTTTTCTAGTAAACACAATCCCGCTATATGCGCGAAAGTTATAACTGAGACTGAGAAACAGGTGTAAATAATTTAAATCAACCTTTTGCCTTGGTATATAACCGGAACTTTATTTATATGTGGCGGTTTAAAGAGTACGAGAGTAGGGAAGCCGGTAATCTGAATGATGTCCTTATCGATGTCATTAGCCGTAGCGTCTATTTTCGCGATAATTATTCTGTTTTCTTCCAAATATTTCTTACCTTTAAGTTATGTTAGTAATATGAGATAGTCATTAGTAATTAGGCCTATGATTCGAATTATTTGAAAAAATAATTCATTATTTGTTTATAAAGGGTCAACTTGATTTACGTTTTTGTATTAAAAAATAAATCACTTTCATGTTTTATTCTAAGAATGATATTTGTGATTGGTTAAAATAACCTCTAGTTATTTTTCTTTGCTTAAAGTATTAATGTAAATATAATTTGGAATAGACGAGACATGATTAACTCGCGCCTTTTTGAGGGATTATTAATTAGTGTTATTTTTATTTATAAGAACTTGGCTATAAAAGGACAGATTTTGGTTATTCTTATCAATTTTTATATTATTTGGATTTTATAAATTATAATGATTGAAAAGAGTCATTTTACAAAGATCTAGGGATATACCGATATTTTATATCAGATCGGATCGGGCCGATATTTCGCTCATTTTAAAATATCGGTTATCGGCAAATATTATAAAATTTTCCGATCCGATATAAAATGGCGCTTTTAACAAAATTTAAAAAAAATTATATCTAAAAAACCATTTATTTTTATAAATAAAATCGAAATACATTTTTATGTTTAATTTTTTTAATAGAAATAATTAGTTAATAAACATTCTGCAATATAGTTATTTTTTTCGCATTCTGTTTAAAAAAGTGTTCATTAATCTCTTCAGTATCTGTTTTTAGTGATGCTAGTGATATTAACAGTCCCCATCACCGCCGACATATCTCTGATATAAAATGAAATCTTCGATATATTAATTTTAAATATTAATTTCAAATTTCATAATATATTTTTTTATTACTAATTATGTAAATAGATTAATGTTATTACTTATTATATAAATAATAGCAATTGAATTGAATATAAACTATAACTGACCATTATAATATATTTAAATGACATATGTTATGGTATAGTAAAATTATAGATGTTGTACTAATAAAAAGTATATTAAAAATTAAAACCGGTATCTTTGCAGAATACAAAATTAGATATGATATCGGATCGGTTATCGGCCGATATCAATTTAATATCTGAAATATCGGATCGGATCGGCCTCCAAAAAGTGGTATCGGTACACCCCTACAAAGATCCAATGATTCCGACAGCCATTTCGCTATCTGTTGTGTTCATATTGTTCCCAAATCCCTACTTGGGAGGGGGGGGGGGGTTATTCAACTTTATCAATATTTGAAAACAAATTATCGAATAATTTACTATTCGATTTGTTTTTGAATACCTATTAATTATTAGTAAGATTCAGACAAAATCTGGGATTTTTTTTTCCAAACTGCAGTCTTCTTTTTATTTCCAAAAGTGTTTATAATTTATAAGGCAAAATAAGTCACATCGATTAATAATCATGCTGAGCCCTGTACCGGAATGCAGAGAGGATATATTTCAAATTCCTTTAAATTAAATTTAAATGCATGTCTTAATTCCTAGTATCGTTACTGTCAGACCCTCAACGCAGGAAGGGGTGGCAGTGTGGTAAATTAGTTGGTTTGACACGACCACGACCCTGGTTTTTGGTCGAAAAAATGAACCAAAACCAAAGCAATCAAATTGGTCGAGCACCGACTTGAGTACAGCATCGACCCGATTTATTTTATTTAAATTTGAATATTTGAGGAGAATATTTATTCATTTATAGTTTTCTTTTTTTTTAGTGATACAGTGATAATAAATATTTTCTTAGGTAAGTAACCGGGACATCGATTATGGTTTACGATAAAAAAGATGATAACATCGATTCGGCGTAAAAGTTTAACCGGTTAATATATATTCATGATTCTCCCCTGACTAATTATAGATTTTATGGGAGATACACTTTTATATAAGCTAACTTAGGTAGTCTGGCATCATCAAATCTATCACATCAATATTTATCAACATAAAAACATGATATTATAATTAGGAAATGAAATTTATATTATATTATGAAAATGGTTTGATGTTTTTTAATAAAAAAAATGATATGCTGCTAAATTGTAATATCATTTTAACAATAAATTAGTGATTTTCACGCCCAAAATTTTAAGCAAAATATAATCATAGTTCATTTGATAAAAATTTTAAATCTTTTATAGTTTTTTTTATCGTTTTTCTGAAATTATTTTTTAAGTATATTAAAAGAAGTGGTAATTTCTAAATAAATTATTTTTAAATATTTATAACAAACTTTTTTATGTTATTTATAAAATCATTTTAAGGATATTTTAATGTGTTAATTGTCATAATATTCGCTATTTTTTAACATTTTTGAAATTTTTTGGCACAAAAGGGTAAAAATGATTATTATAAAGATAATAAATTATAAATATGTACCCTGGATAAGTGACAATTATCATATCGTTATTTTTAAAGTTTTTTGAATTTTTTTGACGCATATTGGCAAAAATAAATGTAGCAAGCATGTTTAAATAAAAATTCAGGAAAGATGTACCCTAAATAAGTGGCAAGTGTCATAATATTAAATTTTAATTTGTGAGTACCGCCTAGATAATAGACCCGAGCACCAACTTATATTATTTTATTGTTTCGACCAAGCAAATTAACAATAATAAATATATGATTATTTTTCTGTTAATATTTCGTCCTCTATGCATAAAAATATGATTGGGCAAAATATTCACAATAATATAATATGGTTTGGAGTAGGTGCTCCGGTCCATGCTCGGGTCGATGAAAGGAACCTTTTAAATATTAAATATGAATATTTTTGTTAATTTTGAAATATTCGTCCTCTATGCAAAATATAATTGAGAAAAATATTCACATTCAGTTCACAATAAAATAATATAAGTTGGTGCTCGGGTCTGATCTGGTCGGTGTTACTCTCAAAAAATTTAAAAATTATAGATTATAACACTTGTCACTTATCTAGGGTATATCTTCCCTGAAATTTTATTTAAACATGCTTGCTACATTTATTTTTGGCAATTTGTGTCAAAAAAATTCTATTAACATTAAAAATAAGATTATGACAATTGTCACTTATCCAGGGTACATATTAACTGAAGTTATATTTAAATATATGCTTGCAATATTAATTATTTCCAATTTGCGACAAAAAAAAATCTAATACCTTAAAAATACAGATATAATTATCATTTATATAAGGAATATCTTCATTTCATTTATAATTTATTATCTTTATAATAAAAATTTTATTTTTACCCTTTTGTACTAAAAACTTTCAAAAATGTTAAAAAATAACGAATATTATGACAATTATCACATTAAAATATTATCCTTAAAAAGTTCTTATAAATAACATAAAAAAGTTTGATATAAATATTTAAAAATTAATTATTTAGAAATTACCACTTCTTTTAATATACTTAAAAAATAATTTCATAAAAAAGATTTAAAAAAAACTATAAAAGATTTCATTCACCTAAAAGATTGTTTATTTATATTAAAATTCACAAAAGAATTTCTCAAAAAAGATTTAAAATTCTTATCAAATGAATTATGATTATATTTTGCTTAAAATTTTGGGCGTGAAAATCACAAATTTATTGTTAAAATGATATTACAATTTAGCAGCATATCATTTTTTTTATTAAAAAACATCAAACCATTTCCATAAGGCTGTGTCTTAAATATCAAAAATTGCATAAAAATTATATCGCGCAATTTGCGCGAATCTAGCGAAAAAAATAATATAAGCCATTTTTAATGGAAAATTAAAATGTTGGCCTAAATGATTTTTTCGATTTTGCGCAAATTACGTGATTCTTAAAAATTATACGATTCGTAAAACTTTTTTATCAATAAACTTTTGCAAATTGAGGGAATAAAAATGGCGAATGAATATCAATTAATATAAGACCTTATAGACATTAGTAGTGTTGTTAAACGGCTCATTTTGAGCCGATTTTTTAAAACGGCTAACTCAATATTTTAGCCAGAAATATATTGTCTAAGTCTCGAGATTTCGATAATATATGCCTAGACCTTTGTTCCTTCTATGAGCAAAATCTTGAGGCTTAAGTAATATTTTTCTGGACGAATAATTGAGTTAGCCGTTTTTAAAAATCGGCTTAAAACGAGCCATCTAACAACACTAGACATTAGTGGTGTAATAGTGACCTTATATATAGATACAGCTGCAAGTAAAGACAAATGGGGAGAGATTATATAAATATTATTATATATTTTAGGTTCAGGAGCTGCTAGATGAACAGCAAGCACCTTAAATTTGGAAGATTTTTACTGGCTAAAAGAAAATGTGGAGGATATATGTAAGCACACTGAAGCAAGTTTCAGTTTTTAACAATCTAAGGATGCTATTAATGTACAAATATCTCCACATGTATTATAACATGAAATTAGAACTATATAATAATCTATATCTTAGGATTATGAGCCAAACATCCAAGATATGTTAAATGTAAAAATATCATCACAAATATTATAACATTAAATTAGAACTATATAACAATCTATATCTTAGGATTTAGAGCCAAACACACAAGATATGTTAAATGATATAGTCAATCAGAAACAAATTTGAATTTAAAATGAAATTTTCCCTTCATATTTATAATTTTCTATATTATTTTCCTATTTATAATTTTGTATATTATCTTCATATTTATAATTTTGTTATAATAAAAATTATTTTATGTTTAATGAATTTTTATAAAATGTGATTTAAGTCATTTTAGCAGTTAAAAACAAATCAAAACAACTCTTTTTATTGAATATTTATAAATAAATGCTATAACTTTGACAAATTTAAACATTCATAAGATAAGGTAATGGTAATTAAAAAATAAATGTATATGAAAATTATGGAATAAGGGTTCATAATTAATTTGTGTACAAAATAATATTTTGAAATAAGCAGTCAGCCTTAACAATTTGTATAGTATTAGTAATATTAGTTTCTGATGATTTATATAATTGTTTAAATTTGGAACTCATGAAACTTATTATCTTTTAATAATATAAAATATAGAATTAGTAAATCATTCACATCAAACATTTTATATATTATAAATTGAAAATAAATGTATGATTCGGGATATGTTTCATATCTCTCCAAACTTACGAAAGTTTTGCGATTCGCAAAACTTTTGATAATTTTTTTTTTTAATTTAGGACACAGCCTAATATAATATTATATAAATAAAAAATATTATATAATATCATGTTTCTTTGTTGATAAATATTGATGTGATAATAATAAAATATTCAAATTTAAATTAAATAAATCGGGTCGATGCTGTGTCGGTGCTCGGATCGGTGGATTTGGTCGCTTTGGTTTTGGTTCATTTTTTTGACCAAAAACCCAACAAAAAATTATGCTAATTCGACCCAACCAAACAATTTCACCATACTAGGTGGTGGTTATGACCGAATTGCGTCGTTGAAATCTTAAGGGAGGGTACCCTCATAGTTAATCTGCAGTCAGTATTAATTTTTTAATTGAATCATTTTATATTATTAGTAGAGGGGAAGAAGGAACCTCAGCACCATGTCAGGGATCTGTTTACTATAATAAAACAACGGAAAGATCATGAGCACTGCTTAACGTTCTCTCGAAAGCTGTATGCGGAATAAGAGAAAGTTATCTCGCATTCCAAATGCGTGGTTTATATAATTGCTTCTCTACTGTACATCTATAATCTTATCTGGGGACTGTTTTTAAAGAATCTAGGTAGCTATCAGTCAGTCTTGTTTTTGGTAGCTGATATATTTAACACTAAGAAATTGAGACCATATGCATGGATTAAAGTTATAATGGTTAAATCTAATTAAATCTTATGGTTTGACTACTAAATAGATATATGTATTATCAACAATAAAAATTGATCTATTCCAATGCAAATAAATTTAAAATACAAATTACACCTTTAAATGAATACGCCAAATTTTTAAAGATATTTTTTTATTGAAGGTAATGATTTGATTTACCAAGATTATAAAATAATAAATTAGCCGATAATAATCCTACCACTTTAAAAATAAATAAATTACCCTTAAAAAATGTACAACTAATTTTTAAATATCTATAAAAAAAATTATAATTATACAAGTAGTATTGTTAAACGGCTCGATTTGAGCCGATTTTTAAAAATAGCTAACTCCACATTTTATCCCGAAATACGCATACCTGAAGATTTTGTTCATAGATGGCACAAAGGTTTGCACATCTATTAGCGCAATCTCGAGACAATATTTTTTTGGCTAAAATAATGAGTTCGATGTTTTTAAAAACCGGCTCAAATCGAGCCGATTTAACAACACTACTACCACGTTTTTAAAAAATAAAATTTGTTTTACTCATCTTCCCACGGTCCTACTACTCCCAGAATTCGATTCCTTTTTCTATCTATCTATCTATCTTTTTTCCTTTCTTCCTTTATATTTTTTATAAAAAAAGTATTTATTCATATAACTAACCCAACTTATTGTATATGGGTTCCAATTTCTTGCAGTGGCCACACCAAGGTGCGTAGAATTCGATCAAAATTAATTTTTCCCTATTCCCCGTATCCGTAAAGACATTAGGCAAATTATGAGCCACCAACGTCTTAACATTAGCTTGGGCATTGGCAGTAACTGCGGGTGCAGGTTGAGACCATACAATAGGTTTGAGATTATCTTTTTTTTGGTTTGAAGAGAAAATTTTAAAATTCTGAAATATAAAATATCTATGGCAAAAAAAAAATTCGCGATTAGTATATTTTTTATAAAAAAACATTTAACCATCTTGAAATTCCTTTATGAATGAGCGATAGTTGTCGACCTCGAATTCCTCCGGATCCATTCTGAATCGCTTGGACTGTGTATAGCACCCGGCGTTCACTTCCTCGCCACTCTCGTCAAGTTCTTTTTGGTTATAAATTATATCCGCGCATTAATTAATTTTCGACAAGAAAATAATGAAACCTTGGCGGGATTATAACCCCGAACGGCTAGGGTTGAGTCGATTTTTATAAACAACTAACTCAATAATTTATTCAAAAATATATTATACAAGCCTTAAGATTTTTCTCATAGATGGCACACAGGTTTGAACATCTGTTAACTAAATCTCGAGTATAAGGCCATATTTTTCCGGCTAAAATATTGAGTTCGCCATAAAAATCGGTTCAAATATAACCATTTATCAACACTACCCGATATAGTTAACTTTATTAATTAAATCGGGTATGGCAAAAAATATTCTTTTGATCAATTTTTTATTTAAAAGACCATTCTTTTTATATATTAAACTATCAAAAATCGCGAAATTTTTGAGTGGCCATTAATTTAAATTGCATTAAAAAAAATTAGATATCAACTTAATTATTACGCAACATTCCGAGATAGACAGAACATTCATGTAGATCGCTAATATTTGGACCAGACCTTCAAATATGTTTTATGCTGAGTTATCATAATTCATGTTTTTGTATTAAAAATAAAGTGATGTTTTATTTCTGGAATGATATTTGTTAATATACCATGTGAATTATTTTTCTTTGTTTAGGTATTACATATTAATAATTTGGAATAGGTGGGTAATAATTGACTCACGTCTTTTTAGGGATATATATTGGTGTTACTTTAATTATTATTCATGTGTATTATTTTATTTATGTTATTTTTATTTATATCCGAAACCTGCAGAGGTACCAATTTTTCGTCCGGATTTTTCTTAGCCCAACCCGACTAGGATATTTTTTTAAAAATAACTTCTAAACCCGGATATATTTTTAAAAAATTAAAATATGGCGGACCCTGCAGGTCTCTGATTTATATTATAGTGTTGGCATTATTTTTCATTGTGTTTCTTCCCCACAAATAAAACAGTGGAAAAATAAAAATTGGGAAAATCAAATAAAAACTTAAAAAATAAAAAAAATTTGGAAAAAGTGGCTACCCTATTAAGTTAAAAAATATTATTGCGTAAAAAGGTAAACCCTCATCACAGTTAGCGCGAATTCATGGCAATATCTTCGCCGCGAATTCGCGCTAACTGTGAATAAGGGGTGATTAATTGCAAGAAGTTCTACTACCAGTTAGTGTAGTGAGACGAAACAAGTAAATAAAAAAGTTATCCTAATATTGTTTTTTTTATTTTTAAATTATTTTTTTAGTGGTAGTAAATTTTTTATTTTTAAAAAAGCAGTTTAATTAAAGTGTCAAATACAAATATGAACAATATCAAATTGAAAATATAATTTAAAAAAAATCAAATAAAAATATATTAAAAAATTTCTATAGAAAAACATTGGAAAAAACTATAAAAAAATTTAAAAATAATACATGTCACACTAGAGGAGAGTTTTTTTAAGGTATAAAAAATGGAAAAATAATAGTTGCACAGTGATAGTTAATAATTGAACAGTGGTAGTTTGAGGTAGCGAAATAGTAGAAGTATTAAAATAGTAAAGCAATGGCAATGTAGTAGTGAAAATTGAGGGAATTGTGTGTTGTGTGGTGTCGGTTTTAATTTTATTGATAGTGCCATATTTGACATTATATATCATTATTTCTAGTTAAGTAAATTTTTAATTTATGTTTATAGGAATCCCATATTTGAACAAATTGGATATGTGAGCAAATTTTAAAAGGGCGCACTTCCAGTAATAAAATAATCTATAAAACTAAAGATAAACGAATTTCCTTGGGGAGTTTAAAAAAAGATATCTTTTATTAAAATTGTACAAGTGCTCAGAAAGTCAGAATTAGGGGCAAGACTAGTTTCAATAAAACTTCACTAAACACAATGACATATAATACAGCACAGACTGAATATTCATTCAATTAAGTTGGTTTTCCATTTCCATACATTGTTATTATGAAAAAGAACCATAAATAGCGTATCACTAGCTGATTTGTATACAACGACGTTACTTCGAAAAAAAGATTTGCAGAACTTTGGATTTAAAAAGATGCTATTCATTTTTAAGGTTAATATTTATTTTTCCTAGTTAAATTTTTTTAAAAATCCGCATTACGCAATTTCTTTAATTCGTCCTGGAATTCCGTTTCGTCAGCGATGGCAAAAGTTATCCGTGGGTGAAAATCCTTGGCTACCTCTAACACTTTGGCCCTCCAATATTGAGTATCTATTTTTAATTTTAAATAGTAATAATGATGTTATAAACATAATAAATAATAAGTTATCAAAGCCTTTGCTTAACTACCCCTTCCCCCGCCTTCTTACCCTGCATTCAGTTAGCGCAAATTTGCGATGAGGTCTACATAGATACACATAAATACGGAATATTTTGTATTCGCCACAAATTACTGCTAATACTAAATGCAGGGTAACCCCTCGTTCTTGGTTAGCGCAAATTCGGGGCCAAGAATACAAAGATATAGCATATTTTTTATTTCATCACGAAGTCGCGCTAACTATGAATAAGGGGTTAAAGGTGAAACAAACTTTTAAAAATGTCAATCATTTAAGAATAATTTAGTGTAAACCTCAACCAATATATTTTTTTGTATAACCATTTCCAAACGAGACGTAAAACATTTTCGAGGCAGGTTTTTAGCCTTTTTTTACTTCCAAAAAACAACGTGCGATAATAATTTGACCTAGCAAATCTTTTTGCATAATATAATATAAAAAAAATACTTTTTTTTGTTTTTCACTTCAAACATCAGACGACAAATATAATCGTTTTAATAATAAAAACGCAAAATTGTATGCGATAAAAAAAATGGCCGTTTTTTAATCACTTTGAAAAATATGTCTTGTTTGGAAATGGCCTATAAGAAAGTATTTGATCTTGAAAATTTAAGTGAATTCTTTATTTTATATTGAAATACTTTGGATATGATCGAAACTCCAATCGATGCCGTAAAAAACGACGCATAGAGGTAGCGTTAGAAATAAGAATTGTCGATTAGCTTTCGTCATTTGACCCACCAATGGTCGCCTCCATTTTTCGCCGAATGATTTTAAAGTTTGAGAGGTAACTTCATCATCCTAGTGGGGAAACATGTAATAAAAATTGTGAGCTATTTAAAAATGGATTCTGATTATGATGCGAGATTTTAGTGAATTCATATGCTTCATTTATTCGTGTTATTTTTAGCTAATTTATTATAGACCGTCCTTAATTTGATGAATCAATTCTTTTCTTCTTTTATTCTCTCAATTTTTGTTAAAAAAACATTCATATTTAATCGTTCATTTAGATCCCATATAAAAATAGCATTCTTATAATAAAAAAAAGGAATTTGTGAAATTAATTTATTATCATTAAATATAACTCATCTTTAAAAAAAAATAACGAAAAATAGTTTTAAAAAATAAAATTTAAGAAAATTATATTTTATAAAATAAAATCGCAGCATTTTTAGATTTTCAAACAAGCTGTAATCACTTGTCTATATATGTATTGTTGAACGGCCCGGCCCGATTTTGATCTATTTTTAAAAACGACCCGTTTAAAATTTTAGCCAAAATAATATGCTGTAAGCTTACTCATAGGTAGCAGAAAGATACCTCTATTTGCCAAATCTCGAGGCCTGTATTAAATTTATTAGTTAAAATCTTAATCGAACCGTTTTTAAAGATCGACCCAAATGGGCCGTTTAACAACACTTGTCTACATGTGTAGCCATTTTTCAGTCCAACGATCCTTTGCCCTAATAAATAAATATTTCGCGCTTTTCCCTCCTTTATAGTGCCCCAATCATTAATTGCCTAAGGCAGCATTCATAGTGGGTCCGAATAAATAGAATTAATTAAATTAATATTAATAAAGAAAAATTATATTATAAAAATAGTTTGGCTGTTAATGTCGGGTCGGCCACTATGAATGAGGCCGAAGGGTGATAGAAAAATATTCTTCTTTTTTTAAATTATATTAATATAAAGGTATTAAATTTATAATAAATATAAAATATAATTTTTTATTTTATCCGAAGAATGGCGTGCTAAAATGTTAGAAGAAAAAAATAGCCAGTGGTAATCGTATTCTTCGAATCTAATCTTGAATAACTCTTATTTGCCTTTATGATAATGCCCATTTAGGTGAAAGTCATAATTGGGGCCAGGGAAGGAGTCATGGGGAAATCCCAACTTGTAAATATCATTTTAAGTTAATAAAAAATTTCCCCCTACACACCCCCCCCCCATCTCCCCAATATGTATGCCATATATCACTATAAACAACAATTTGAAAACTTAGTAAAAGTAAATAGTTTTTTTTAAACAAAAACCATGAATCAAAATTTTTATTAAAAAAAGAAGTGAAAATCCAAAATTATTTTCATAAAAATATAACATAGTTAAAGGTCAACAAAAATGACTAAAAAACCTCCAATAAAATTTGTGAGTTGAAACCCAACATCTAATACTACCCCCCACACCTCATTATAAAAATATTGCCTACCCTATTTTTTTGCAATTGCATATAGTATTTAGTTTTAAACCTAAGGGTTGGAGCGTTAGTTTTTAAAACTGGATGCCCTTCCTGACATCAACCCAAAAGTGACTTTTACACCCCGTCGAGGAAAACGGTCATCATATTTTCTATCACAGACAAGGGTAAACCTTTTAAACGCCGTCATTTGCACTTCCCCGCTAAGTTGAGGCAGAAGGTAGTAGCTGGTCTTTTAATGTGAATTTGTTGGGAGTAGGGATTTAATATGATGTCAACTCGACTTAAAGACCTATAAAATCTATTTTTTTGGCCAAAGCCTGTCCGAAGCTCGGCGGTAAAATTTTTTAGTACTAGGTCCTGTCCGTGGCCCGACATTATATAAATGGAATTGAAAAATGTATTCTCAAGATTATTACATAATTCTAAATCTATATTTTAATGTTAAGAATTAAATTTAAATATTCAGCAATAACTTTCCATATTAATAAGAGTTTGAAATACTCCTCAAAATAAAAAAAAATCTTCAAAGATCTTTGATTTGATTATATCGAAATGCTCAAACGGGATTAAAATTCCAAATCTTTTATATGTAAATCTTTTGTGATTTTTTATGTATAAAAAATCTTTCATGATGAAATCTTCTTTAGGCTGTGCCCAAAATATCAATAAAATTAAATTTACAAACTTTCTGAAGCTTTAATGAAAATAAAAAACTACTTTAAATATTAAAATAAAAATGTGTACATATCATAATTCTAGAAAATTTTATAAATTAATTTAACAAACGATTTCGTTATTTTAAAATTTGCGAAAATGAAACTTTTCTAATTTTTTAAAATGATTTTGGACATATCTAGAATAAGAAAATTTCCCGCCTCTCAATTTTTTTAACAAATCTTTTTCAAATCGCGAATAATCGTACCTCGGGGAAAACGAATCTTAAGCTCTCGTATTTCGATTGAAATTTTTCGGGTTGCAGCAATAGGATAGTATTATTGGGCACGCGCGTACTCATCATAACCTCTTGATTGAAGGTGTGCAAAAAAGTAAAATCATCCCGCAAGGAGCTACCTTAAAAAAAAAATTTTTTTCGAAAGATAAAAAAAAATTGTTTGTAACCTTATTATACTCACAAATAGTGTTGTTAAATGGCTCGTTTTGAGCCGATTTTTAAAAACGGCTAACTCAGTATTGCATCCAGGATAGTATTACGCAAGCCTGAAGATTTTGTTTGTAGAAGGAACAAAGGTTTGGACATCTCTTAGCGAAATCTCGAGTCTTAAATAATTTTTTTCTGGCTAAAATATTGAGTTAGCCGTTTTTAAAAATCGGCTCAAAACGAGCCGTTTAACAACACTACTCACAAAAGTTACTCTGATATTCATAATAATGGACGCTATTTGACGCTTATTTAACAGCTGAGTGAATTTTATATTTTTTTTACAAAAAAATTAATCAGATAATATTTTTTAAAATTTTTAGATAATTAAAAATAAATAAACTAATTTTAAAATTTACAAAAGTGAAAAGTTAATGATTAATCCTAATTGATATGAAACCAATTTTATTTATAATATAATATATTTACATTTTGAAACCTTTCTTTTTCTTCTTTTTTTTTACATTTTCAATTAACTTTAACAAAATAAAATTTGAATACTAAAGAACTTTTTGTCGATTATTACGATAATCATGACGATTCCCTTAATCCTTCCTAGATCTTTTTCGTTCCGTTATTACTTTCTGCAACGAGAACATTCATGATAAGGTTTAAAAGATATTCAACTTTAAGAGATATAACGCCACAAATCTGAAAGATGTTCATAGATAACTGTTAAACAATTATAATATCTTCTCCTTTGCTCGGATCTTATAGGTAAATATTAGGCGGCACATTTAATCTCCAAAGACACTTTTTCTTAATTAGATGATGTTGGATGGCTGGGCTCTGCTGATAAGCTGTCCACATAAACTATCATTTCTACCAGCATACCAGCCCTTCTAAAGTTTTTCATAGTCATAACGGACGTTATAAATTTTATTGAAATCAAAAGATTCGCTACAAGAGGTCATATTATTATAGTTTGCATGGATATGAATAAGAAGCTATTCAAATCAATTTACAGGCATTAGTGTGGCTATATACTGATCGTGGAAATCTATAATTATGCTCCAATAATTTCGGAAAACTGGTTTTTTTCATCCCCATTATAGCATGTTCTCGTTAAAAAAATTATTCCAATTTCAAAAATATCGGGAGATTTAAATCTATAAAATGGATTTAATAATAAATAAGGAAAACAAATATTTATTTTAACGTTTCATGCTTTAGACTAAATTTAAATTAGTTTGAAATGCCGAATTCCGGAAGAAAAGATACAAATAATTGAATTATTTTTTATGGAGTTTCAGCATCTCCGATATTTTTCGGCCCATAAGTTTATCAAAGTAAATAGATGGTGTAGGAATCAATCGACGACATTTTACCAATATGTGGGAGTATATAATAAATTTACAAGAGGCATATTATCTTCTGAGGCAGAGGATTCATCATTATATATTTTGATTTCTTTCTTTAAAACTGTTTTGAAGCACGAACTAATATCCTTTCATCAGTTGACGGCATTCTGCATAGTGGAATTCATTGAAGCCCATTTTTATTAATATAATTATTAAAAATAGGATGTATTATATATAAAAAAATGATATACATATATAAATTAATAAATAAATAATATATATAAAATATTACATTACCAAATTGAATACTTTAGAAATATGAATTTTTAAAATATCCGTTTGGGAAAAATCTGGAAAAATATACAAAGATATAAATATAACCTCAATATGGCGAATTTTATGAGATTTTTTTTAAAATGTTAAATAAATATCATTTATTTATTTTATTGGTACCATTTCGATTAATAACAGTTTTTACAAAAGTGATTAATAATTAATTTAATTGATACAATCGCGCTATATATATTCGTTTCATTTACATATTATATGAAAAGAATTCTTTTTTATAATATAATATATTCTATACACTATGGAGCAACCTTTCTTTTTCTTCCTTTTTCCTCCTTTTTCCCATTTTCGATTATTAACAAAATAAAATTAAAAACCTTTAGTTTTTTCTTCCTTTTTCCTCCTTTTTCCCATTTTCGATTATTAACAAAATAAAATTAAAAACCTTTAGTCGAGTTACAATAATTGTGACATCTTTTCACTTAAGACTGATAACACGACTCTTTTGCCAGATCAAATAATTCCAGTCTCAGCCATATGTCACCTTGATTAATGGTTAGAAACAATACCTAGTACTAATTTCGACTTGCTCCTAACCAATGAATAACTAAGAATAGCTATCAGTCTTTGTTTAGGTTGTGAAATCGTAAAGCCGACATGTGTCATCTTTAAAACTCATATCGATAGCCTGTGTCATCACTCTCTACTCGTTTTTCAAAAAAGAGATTACCCAGGCACTATGCAATCAATTTGATTATAAATAGAATCTTGAAATCTACAAATCCTTCTAAACAGGAACCCTCTGGCCTCAGACCTGATGGGATGACGCTAGTTTTCTGGAACCTAGGTTAGGTATACCCCTTGCTTGGGATTATACTTGTGTAAATCGTTTTGCCAGATCTTTTTCTGTCAACTCTACCATGAAAGCTGAAAATACCTAGACAAACCACCACCTTAATAATCTTTTGTTTGTTCTGGTAGTCTCACACTTATATAACATTTGGACTTCAAGTAAAATTATTCAAAACAATAGAGCAAAGTTTAATCACAGGTGATTCAAAAAATATCCGAAATTTGCCGATCCAACTGTATATCTATACATTGGTCATTAAGTCCCGCCGACCTAACCTAAATATATATTTTTTTAAAGTTTTCTATCCTTACTTTTATATAGATATGGTATGTTAATATTTAAAATCAAAATTTTATCTTATAGTAGTTTTAGTTAATATTAATTTGGAAATAAAAAAAAATTTATTATATAAAAAAAATATATATATTAATGATTATAGAAAATTTTATTAAAAGATTTTATAAACTCGATTAAATCATTACATCGTACCTATGAATTCAGTTTTGAACAAACTGACTAGAGAAATTTAAAAACGTCCCGAAAGACATTTTTTGACAAGATTTCTGAAAATGTAATCTTTTTTTTATAATCCTTTTCAAAGTGATTTTAAATCCCCTAATATTTTGCCCTAAATATGTTTAATTAGTTGCATTGTGTTGCAGCTCCAGTTAACATAACATTAATGATTAAATAGAATGATTGACAAAATATTTTAGGCAATGTTTCATTAGTGTATAATAGAGTGCATTGAATAAAATTCCCTCCATCTTGTTTTTTTTAATATTTGCCATTTTGAATAAGAACTATTTTTTTAAAAAAAAATTTTTAATAATAAATCCTATTTTGTCCAAAGAATTAATAATTTTAAAATTAGATAAAGCTAAATAATATATAAATAAAATTCATTTTATTTTATAATTTCGTGCATTATGTATAAACCGAATAATATCTAGATGTTCTTTGCTGGGACAAAAAAAATGTCATTGTTCTCAGATAAGTAAAATGAAGAGCAAAAATATAATGGTTTGATCACTTTTACTACTTTTAATATTCCACGCAATCAGAGGAGCCTAATCCCACTTCCTGACAAATAAAATGCAATAACTCATTTAGTCCCATTATAATGCGATGATATCGATACAACTTTCCAGTTATGTAAATTTCGTCTAATTAAGTTAAAATTTTCTCTTTTTTTTAAATATATTTCAAACCTAAATAATTCTCTAAAATTGATTTTACATTTGCACAAAAAAAAATTTCAAACCTCCAATGTCGACAGATAAATATAAAAAGAACGATATGTAATAACTAATTTCATACAGAGAAGAAAAAACAAAATTAACAAAGGCTTTTAGCTTACCCTTTTTACATATGTGATATTTAGTATTGCAAAACGGCTGGCTTTTTAAAAACGGCTAAAATATTTAACCAAAAATATTACGCAAGCTTGGTGATTTTACTCATAGATGACAGAACGGTTTGGACATTTATTAACGAAATCTCGAAGCTGAGTAAAAAAAAATTTGGCTAAAATATTGGATTCGCCTTTTTTTTAAATAGACCGTTTAATAACCTAATGATACTATTAGCACAGCACAATAAATATTTCTCGGTAACAAAGCTTTTTTGAACGCCTCATCCAATAGTATATAACCGCCTCTGCCCGCAAAAGAGGGTAAATCGCTTCAAAGTTAGGTGGGTAGATTAAAAGTAAGCTTCTATTAATTTTAATTTATTTTTACATGCATCAAGATAGACATGATATTTAGCATCCTCCCTAGATTCGAAAAAGCCAATGAAAGTGACCTCTTCTGGTGCCATAATATTTCTCATTTGTTTCAAGTTTTCGAATTCTTTGCTGCCATCGCCCATTTGATTCAGCATGTATTTTACGATATCTAAATTATAAACGATATTGATTTACCAGGATTATATTGGTAATATAGCCAATTATATTTTGTCAAACTTCATATTAAAAATATCGTTTTAAATCTCTCACAAGCATCACTTCAAGAGCATGCTAATTATACAGTAAAGTTTTAGATATTGATATTTTATAAGGTAAAATGCCAAAATAATTTTTTAGATTTAACAATATAAAAAATCATTTCATGACGATTATTCCTTTCTTTCTTTCTTTTTCCCTCTACATTAATGATTATTTTTAAATCGCCTATCTTTTAACTGAGGTTTTAAGTCATTTTTTTAAGCTGAAAGCTTGGCTTGCCCTAAGTGAAGTGATTTAATAATCATAGGACATTATTCACCAATAATTATTAAAATATAAGTATAAAAATCAAACCCTTTTATCTATTTAATAGATGTATTGGTTTCAAAAAAAAAGCGATTCACCAAATTATAATTACACTAATAATAATTTAAAACGAGAATAAAAATTTTGACTCACTTTCTGAACTATCGCGAGGCCCATTGTATTCATAAGCTACTCCACGCCTAAATATTTTCAGAGTGGGATAACCTTAAAATATCGAAATATAAATAAAAATTATTATTTCAACAAAAATTTATAGCCTTATCTTTTTGACTTTGCATTTGCATGAATTTTAAAAAAAAACATTTCAAACCTTTAACTTCATATTTCGAGGTTATATTTTTATTCTGGGTTGCATCGATTTTAGCCAGTTTAATAAAATCATGTTCATCCAAATCAGATATTTGGTTTAATTCCTTAGCAGCTGATTTATAATGCGGTTCGAGGGCCTTGCAATGACCACACCTTTGCCATTTAAATAAATATTTTAATAGTAATTATTTGGTTATTGCCAAGATCTGCTAAAGTAGGTCCAAACTGTACCTGGCTTAATTGAGCCATATTTTAAAAAAAATATTCATTTGGGTTAGACTAAAATTATAGATTGCTAAATTCCTATATATTTAAATATTGTGCAAATTTTGGGAGCAAAAAATGTTAGCAGTTTTTCAAAAAAAATTATATGAAATTGTGTCCAAAGCTGGCATCTAAAGTTTTAAAACTTTAAGAAACCCTAATATTAAAGTTTTTAAAATTTTTCAAATATGTTTTGGTCATATTTTTATTTTTCTATAACAAAATAAAGGTCTACTATATATCACAAATCCAATCCCATATCATACAAAGACAATCTGATAAAAAATAATGATTTATTCATGATTTTAATTTATCACATATCTTTAAATATTTTCTAATAATTAACTGTAAACTATGAAAACAAAAAACACTATAAGATTTTCAATTTGTCATGGGTAGTGTTGTTAAAACGCCGCGAGTCGCGACCCCGACCCAAAGCTCGGGTCGTTTTATTCGACTCCGACTCAATGTTTGGGTCGTTTTTTTCGACTTCGACCCGAGTTCAAGCCGAAATAAACGACTTCGACCCAAAATATGGGTCGTTTTTTTCGACTCCGACCCAAGTCCAAGCCGAAAAAAACGACCTCGACCCAAAATATGGGTCGTTTTTTACGACTCCGACTCAAAATTTGGGTCGTATTTTTCGACTCAAATTTGAAATTTGGGTCGTATTTTTCGACTTAAACTTGAAGTTTGGGTCATATTTTTCGACTCAAACTTGAAGTTTGGGTCGTATTTTTCGACTAAAACTTGAAGTTTGGGTCGTATTTTTCGACTAAAACTTGAAGTTTGGGTCGTATTTTTCGACTAAAACTTGAAGTTTGGGTCGTATTTTTCGACTAAAACTTGAAGTTTGGGTCGTATTTTTCGACTCAAACTTGAAGTTTGGGTCGTATTTTTCGACTCCAACTCAAAGTTTGGGTCGTTTTTCTGACTCAGACTCAAACATCGGGTCGTTTTATTCAATCCGACTCAAAATATGGATCTTTCTTTTTAAAGACGACTTAAAGTTAGGGTTGCTTTTTTTCACCCTTAACCCAATATCTAGATCATTTTTTTTGACCAAAAGTCAAATAACATTTAGTATATATTAATATTATAGGCGGGAAAGTTACTTAAAACTTCTTTAAATTATAATGCTCTGGATTAACTATTCATCATAGTTATTTTTTAAAATTTTTAAGTGAAGATGCACCATAGAAAAGAGCCATTTGTTATGATGGTTATTTTTGAACTTTTTTAAATGAAATAGATGAAAATATATATTCTAAACATGTTAAATTAAAAATTCAGTGAGGATGTATCATATATAGGTGACAATTGTCATAATCGCTATTTTTGAACTTTTTCAAATTTTTTTAAAGGAAATATCTAAAAATATATATTCTAAACATGTTAAATTAAAAATTCAGTGAGGATGTATCATAGATAGGTGACAATTGTCATAATCGCTATTTTTGAATTTTTTCAAATTTTTTTAAAGGAAATAGCTAAAAATATATATTCTAAACATGTTAAATTAAAAATTCAGTGAGGATGTATCATAGATAGGTGACAATTGTCATAATCGTTATTTTTGAACTTTTTTCAATTTTTTTAAAGGAAATAGCTAAAAATATATATTCTAAACATGTTAAATTAAAAATTCAGTGAGGATGTATCATATATAGGTGACAATTGTCATAATCGCTATTTTTGAATTTTTTCAAATTTTTTTAAAGGAAATATCTAAAAATATATATTCTAAACATGTTAAATTAAAAATTCAGTGAGGATGTATCATATATAGGTGACAATTGTCATAATCGCTATTTTTGAACTTTTTCAAATTTTTTTAAAGGAAATATCTAAAAATATATATTCTAAACATGTTAAATTAAAAATTCAGTGAGGATGTATCATAGATAGGTGACAATTGTCATAATCGCTATTTTTGAATTTTTTCAAATTTTTTTAAAGGAAATAGCTAAAAATATATATTCTAAACATGTTAAATTAAAAATTCAGTGATGATGTATCATATATAGGTGACAATTGTCATAATCGCTATTTTTGAATTTTTTCAAATTTTTTTAAAGGAAATAGCTAAAAATATATATTCTAAACATGTTAAATTAAAAATTCAGTGAGGAAGTATCATATATAGGTGACAATTGTCATAATCGCTATTTTTGAACTTTTTCAAATTTTTTTAAAGGAAATAGCTAAAAATATATATTCTAAACATGTTAAATTAAAAATTCAGTGAGGATGTATCATAGATAGGTGACAATTGTCATAATCGCTATTTTTGAATTTTTTCAAATTTTTTTAAATAAAATAGCTAAAAATATATATTCTAAACATGTTAAATTAAAAATTCAGTGATGATGTATCATATATAGGTGACAATTGTCATAATCGCTATTTTTGAATTTTTTTAAATTTTTTTAAAGGAAATAGCTAAAAATATATATTCTAAACATGTTAAATTAAAAATTCAGTGAGGAAGTATCATATATAGGTGACAATTGTCATAATCGCTATTTTTGAACTTTTTCAAATTTTTTTAAAGGAAATAGCTAAAAATATATATTCTAAACATGTTAAATTAAAAATTCAGTGAGGATGTATCATAGATAGGTGACAATTGTCATAATCGTTATTTTTGAACTTTTTCAAATTTTTTTAAAGGAAATAGCTAAAAATATATATTCTAAACATGTTAAATTAAAAATTCAGTGAGGATGTATCATAGATAGGTGACAATTGTCATAATCGTTATTTTTGAACTTTTCTCAATTATTTTAAAGGAAATAGCTAAAAATATATATCCTAAACATGTTAAATTAAAACATCAGTGAGGATGTATCATAGATAAGGGACAAAAAATGGTTATTATATATACGAGTAGTAAGGTACATAATATTTTTAAGTGATAAAATGAGATGCTAATATATTTCTTGTAATTTTAATTTATAATAAAATTCTTAAATCTTTGAAGTTACTAGTTAGGATAAAAGTTACTTGGCACATCATACAATGATATTTATACCTTGTTTTTTTTTTCGAGAATAAATTTTATGCGATATCTCATGAAGGAAATTACATACCATTGTACAGAGAAATAACTTTGTATATATTATCTGCACCAATATCTTTTATATCAATCTCTATCGGTGACATTTTAAATTATATTGGAAACTAGATTGTGTAGATTTCTAAATATTAATTTAAAGGATTAAGATTTTAGAATTAATTATAAATATATCTTAATAATTTTTATATTGCATTTATTATTTAAAATCTCTCGTTTTAAGCCTATTTAGCAAGAAAAATATTGACTAATCCTGAAATTACGATAATAGATATCTATACCTTTATATAATCTATGAGAAAAATTGCTCTCATAATATTCTTCTTAATAAAATAGTGAATAATTAACGCCTGAAAAAAAGTATAGCGCTTTATAACATGGTTCAAAGTTAATCCCAGTATCAATTTTAATGTGTAATTTTTCTCAAGTGTTCAAAATTCTAAATCTTAATATCAAAAACTATTTTAGTTATCAATTTAAAGTCAAATAATATTAAAACACTAATATTCTACAGTATTCATAAAAAACAACAGCCTGAAATAAGAATACTAAGCTCAAAACATCTTAAATATTTGATACATTTATAGTTTAAATATTTTTATTTAAATTATATATATTTATTAATGTACAAAAAATTTAATTTAACAATATATATAGATATAAAAATTATGTATAAAATTTATTATTCATGATATTGATATCCCATGAATTTAAACATAAACACTGTTTAAGTGTTTCGGAGGCCATGCGATTTCTTTTCTTTGTTACGGTGTCCACCCCTCTTGAGAAGACACGCTCGCTCTCAACGGATGTATTGCTGCGACAAAAAATCTTTAGCCATCATGAAAAGGTACGGAAAACGCTCAGAATTAAAGTACGACTTAAAAAAACTCGACTTAACACTACATTTATGAAAAATATAGCTCGCCTAAATTATTAAATTATATTTAAAAAAATTCATATTTTAATTGAAAAATGCATCCGGAATCGCAAATACTTATTTAAAAAATTTATTGTTTTATTAGTTTAAAAATTCCATATGGAAGTGAAGTGACTATTTAAATTCTAAAATTATAAAAGATATTTTATTTTACTTTTAGTGGTGCCAGCTAGACGGCAAATTTGTTGAGATTTTTTCTTTTCTTCATTGTTAGGGATAGGGATATGATTAATAATCATTTTTTTTAACTTTCCAAATTTTTTTTAACTTTCCAAATTTTTTTTTATTATTTTTAGGGGTATAAATCTAAATTTTTTTATTTTATTCATTTTTTGTTTTTAAAATTATAATTTAATATTATTAACATAAATTTTATTAATAAAAGTTGTCCAATTTAAATCATTTCTTAAATATTATTTTTATATAAAACTTTTCTTAGTGTGATGTCACAAAGTTCAAGTTCTACGCCATCAAGGTCAACTCAAGATGATAGAGAAAATCAAGTAAATCAATAACCATAAACCTTTATGATATTATTTCGATTTTATGCAATTATAACCTTTATTTTAATATATTTATAATTTTAGTTGGAGCCTTTTTCGGATTCACTAATAGAACAGGATTTAAATTCTTCTGCGATTAATAGTAGTTTCAATATTAAATCAAATTATAATTATAGTCCAAATAAATCACACAAAAAATGCAATCATTGCGAAAAAATATATCGTTCCACTACCGCTACAAGTTTAATAAATTTTTGTTTTTATATAGTTACATTAAATTAAATTTTCAAATTTAAAAAGAAATTATTCCTTATGATGGCAGTAATGTTTTTTAATATTTAAAAAAACATAAAATATTTCGGGGTTTTTA